AAGGTCAGCTCTTCCCTTGCGCCCATGCTCTGCTGCTCGCACCGTGGTCTGGATGCTCGTCGGGGTGACTTGCGCTGCGTGGGAACCGCAGAGCTGCTCTCGCAGGCTACTGGAGGAATTTCCCTCCGTCTGGCCGGGATTTCACCCTGCAGTGCTTTTTCCTCTTCTCCTCCTGGTGTTTTTTGCCTACATCTTGAGTCTAATAATGAGCTTGGGTCCCTTATTTTTGACTTTGCTACAGCAGCGGCATTCAAGCCCCGCCTGGACAAGGTCCTGTGCAGCCTGCTCTGGGTGACCCTGCTTCGGCAGGGGGTTGGACTGGGTGACCCACAGAGGTCCCTTCCAACCCCTACTATTCTGTGATTCTGTGACGCAGGGGAGCAGAGAAAGCGGGCGCTGGGGGAGGACAAGCTCCGCTTCGGATTTAAATCCAGTTCGATCCTTTGTCAGCTGAACGGGTTTTGACAGAGCCCAGATGGGAACAGTTCATGCACACGAAGGAAAGAGCCATCGTCTAGCGAGAGGCAAAGCTGACCTGGCAGGAGTCACGGGAGCGGTCAAGCTGCAAAACCTTTGCAATAAAATAAATGTCTCCACGCGTGGGGGCTGCGTTGGAGGGGAGGTCGGTGCCACCCTCCGCGCTCTGCCCGGGAAGGAGGTGGCTCTCAGGCACCCGAACGCCCATCCAGGTGCAGTAGGTGGGCAGGAGATTTGCAGCTTGCTTAAGCAAAATGCAGCTATATTTTGGCATAGGAATTAGGATGGTCTCTGCTGATGTCCCTCTAGGCCGAGGTGCCACCACAGTAGGGTCTCCGTAGAAGCACATCAAGGATAACTCTGCTCTAGCCCCAAAGACTTTGCAAGCTCAACAGGCAAGGCCAGGACTGGGCTGGGAGGGGAACACCGCAGCACCCTGGGGTGGCACTGCTGGAAGCAGCCCAGCACCCACCACCATGCCTCCCTGAGCCTCTCCAGGTGGGGTCTCTGGCCTTGCTTGGGTCTGGTTCTTAATTCTAGTCTAAAAAATAATAAAGAATAAGATATAAAGAATAGAAAGGGTGGCTCCAGCAGGCTCCAGCCCTTGGCTGTGCTGCTGATGTTCACAACCCTACCAGAGGCGACAGGACCTCGGGTCCCACCTTGTCCAGCGTCCCATCGCTACAGCCTCTAACATTGCTCAGACGCTCCAGGAGAAAACTTTGAGCCCTCTCCTAATCCAAGGAGTCAGAGGCTGGTGAAGCTGGAGAGCACGAGCTTGTGGCCTCCTGCAGAAGATGGGTTTACTTGGACAGTTACAGCTCTTGGCCTTTCTGCCCTCCATCTCTGCCTCCAGGCTGGGTCCTGGGGCTCACCACATCTTTTTGCTTCTGCAGCACCCCGTGGCAATGAATTTCCCGGGCCAAGGATGCACTGGGAGACCTAGCACCTCCTTATTGGTTTTACTGGGCCACTGTTTTGGTTCTCCCAGCTGCCTGGCAGAGCTGTGTGCCATGACCCTATGGGGTTGGCGATGGACCATAAGCAAAGCCTGCCTTCTTGGGGAACACCAAACCCATGGCTGGTAAACAGCCCAGTTGGGAGGGTCCCCTGCTCCTTTCCAGGAAAATACAGTAAATTTGATCTCTAGCTCTATCAAAGGAGAAAAAAACCACTATTTTCCCAAAGGTCTTTGGGCTCTTGGAGCAGGGAGGGGAGGCGAGGGGCGGCAAGCGATTCTAGTGTCAAAGAAATTCAGCTTGCTGGCCAGAGGCCAGGGACTTTTCATGTGGATTTTCAGCCTCCGCCAGGAGACTCTCGGGTGCTGGAAGAGCCTTTAATTCAAACCAGGTGCCTCTGAAAGGAAAACACTCAAAAAGGCAAACTTGGTCGCTCTCCCTCAAAAAAAAAACACCCAAAAAAACCCCAAAAGAGGGCAATCACGCACATTTCAGTGAACTATCCTCCCTGGCACGCCACTCTGAGCTCCCAACCGCCGGCTTCGCCACCACCTCGCCCGATGGAAACCGAAACCACCGGCGCGGCTGGAGGGAGAAGAGCCAAGCCCAGTGCCCGGCGAGGAGCCCCAAGGCACAGGCTGGCCAAACTCCACCGCAAACAACTTTTGTTGCCCTGCTCTTTCCGTGAGCTGAGCATCAGCTCTTCCATGAGCTACAGAGAGGACCGGAGGGACCGCTGTGGTCCAGGCAGTGATCCCTGCTGTGGAGCCAGAATGGACAACGCTGACGGCACCAATGCCCAACAGCACCCCTGCAAACCAGCTGCTCCCCCAAATCTGACGCTCACCAAGTGATGCCACGAACGACAACAGAGGCGCGCAGGGAGAGGGGGACCTGCCCCGGCGGGCTTACCCTGCGATGACAATGAAGAAGTCCAGGCGGTTCCAGGTGTCTCCCAAGTAGCACTTCTTCCCAAAAATCCCCAGCGCAATCATCTTGACGATCATTTCCACAGCGAAGAAGGCAAAGATGAAATCATCGAAGCTCTGCAAAAGAAACGAAGGGAGGAAGGATGCTCCTGCATCACTGCACGTTTGCACCGGGGGGGAGAACTAGAGACCTGAGTCCAAGAAGGTCTCCTGTCGCCCCACTGAGGGCTAAAATCCCTGGGCAGAGGCAGTGCTGAGAGCAGCCCTGTGCCTTCCCCCAGCCCAGACGGGCCAACAGCACCCATGGTGCTGGGATGAAGGAGTGAGTATACATTGGGCTCTGTTTTCACTACAAACCCGATGGTTAACACTCTCCAAGCAAGGCTTGGCTATGTTAGGGCTGGGACAGCCTGGCAGGGGCTTTGCCCGATGACACCGTGCGTTCACATCCAAGCACCAAAATCAGCTTTTTTTATGGTGGGACAAGTAGTGCAGGCAGGACCCAGCCATCCCAGGGCACGAGTCCTCCTCAACCGCGGCTGGAGCCAGCTCGGTCCTTCCCTCTCCCCATCAATCCGGGGCCACCGTCCAGCTAAAAGCAGCAGCCGGGCCGTACCTGGCGGATCCCGCAGCGCCGAGTCGCAGGCGATGTCCTCGCAGGGGTGGAACATGCCCAGCGTCACGCAGTTGAGCAGGATCACCAGCATGCTCACCCTCTCGAACCACCTGCACGGCACCTCGTCAAGGAAGCAACGGACCCAGGCAAGCGTCCGCGAGCAGCCACCGCTGAATCGGAGAGGTCACTCCGGTCTTTCACGCGAGGCACACGCCAGCATCTCTCCGTTAGACTTCATATGCAAGCGTGGAAGCCCTGCCTGCTCTTTCGATACCTGCACAGCAAACCGCTGGCGTGTTCTCCCCACGAGAAGTGGCTACAGCCAAAGCGAAAACCCGCCGTAAAACCGTCCAGCTAAAAGCAGCAGCCGGGCCGTACCTGGAGGATCCTGCAGCGCGGCGAGTCGCAGGCGATGTCCTCGCAGGGGTGGAACATGCCCAGCGTCACGCAGTTGAGCAGGATCACCAGCATGCTCACCCTCTCGAACCACCTGCACGGCACCTCGTCAAGGAAGCAACGGACCCAGGCAAGCGTCCGCGAGCAGCCACCGCTGAATCGGAGAGGTCACTCCGGTCTTTCACGCGAGGCACACGCCAGCATCTCTCCGTTAGACTTCATATGCAAGCGTGGAAGCCCTGCCTGCTCTTTCGATACCTGCACAGCAAACCGCTGGCGTGTTCTCCCCACGAGAAGTGGCTACAGCTAACGCGAAAACCCGCTGTAAAACGAGAGTTACGGGGCGAGAGTGCTGATGTGACGGATTGAAAAATTAAATTAAAAGAAGGATATCAACTTCTAGGGAAAAATCCCACACTGGTAGTTTCCTCTCCTGGCATTTTACGGAAAAGCACTTTAACAACATTACAATTTTCTATTAACCATGTCAAGGCTTATCCCAGGGGCGTTTCCCTGAAGTCACTGCTCCAACTTTTCATTCCCAGTCCAAATTAAGACTGTCAAAACCATTAACCAGCTGCCTAAAAGCCTTTAAGACCGTGAGGGCCAGCAGAGCCCATCCTCTACCCTGACTGCTGCCTCTTGGAGCAATTTTACAGAGCTGAGCTGCCAGGACAGGCTTCGGATGCTGTTACTCTTGGGGCGGGATAAAGTGTGCTGCTGCAGCAAATCCTCACAGGGATGGCTCAGACCTGGTACCCAATCTCTGCATCCTTCCAGGGGGCATTTCCAGCTCCCGACTGCCTGGGGCACAGAGATGTGCAATCCAGGAGCCGGGGCAACGCGGAGCCGGGAATATCTTCCAGCCTAGCATGGAAAACACCATCAGCTGCCGCGACCCGCAGGCGGTCAGGGCCGAGCTCCTGCCTGGGTGCAGGCAGCAGCTTCCAGGCTGTAGGAAAATAAGCGTGGCCCTTGTCAGACAAGGGCTTTCGCTGCAACGCGGTAGCGGGTGGTGTTTGGGAGCCCGTGCTGTAGCGTTATCTGCCTGGGGAAGAAGAAGGTGAGGATGAATCAGCAGGTGCCTCCCCGCCGGGCACGCGGGGCTGGAGCTGGCAGCTCCTGCCACCCATCCTGGCCAAATTCCTGGGAAATCACATGGGGCTGAGTCACGGCTCGGTCCTCAGCAATCTGGATCTTTTAATCAGAAGAAATGTTTACGAGATATGGGGATAGACATTCCAACTGTCAGGTTGGGGCTATGGGCTGGAATACTTAGCCCAAATATAGTCACACGGGGGCAGGCGTGGACGGCAGGCTGGAGGAGGGGGCAGCAGCCACGGGGGGATCCACGGGTGCTCCCCGGCTTGGGGGGCTGGAAAACATTCCTCTGCGGAGCCATCCGCATCCCCAGCGCTGCCAGCGAGGAGCCACAAAGCCCCTGAGAACATAAAGAATTAAAAAATAACCCTGTAAGATCCCAAATGGGTCACAGAACGAGCAAGGCTGTGTGAGATCTTCAGCAGGGAAGCGAGGAGGGTTGGGAGCAGCCTGCTTGGTTGGGTCAAAACACAGAGAGACAGTGGGATGCTTCACCAGACAGGCAAAGCTTCATGAAAATTCTTCCGTGGTGGTGGAGCAGACCATGCACTGGGCCTGGCTCTCCTACACAGGCTCCATCCCAGCTGGGCATGGGACCTGGGGGGTCCTTTTACCACAGTGGGCAGCTGCTTGGTGCTGGCTGGGGACCACAAGCTCCTGAGCGAGCAGGGATGGGCACACAACCCTGATGTCCATCTGCCTGGAGCCACTCTGATCTCACCTCCTCCCTCTCCAAGACCTAGAGCAGCCCGAACGCCCGGGCAGGGCAGCTGAGCAGACCCCCGCTCACCGCAGCCCACAGGGCTGAGCGCCGGCTGAAACGTCCCACCCCCCACTCTCCTTGCAAGAGCAAACATCCAGAAAACGGCAGAAAAACAGCCTGGGGAAGGGGGGGGACCCCAGGGAGCGGGAGGGGATTTTATTTGCTGATGCCAGGGTTTTTCTCCCCAGCTTTAGCTGCAGACCCACTTATCAGCGTATCGCTCCCTCAAGCAAATACATTTCAGTCCAATATAACACTTCACCCTGATTAAATATTCCCGGGATGGGGACTCCAGCGGTGCCGAGGGCGATATGTTAATGTGCAGCTGATAGATCAGAAGGTTGGGGGGGAGGGTTATTTTATTTTTTTTCCTTTTTTTT